ATATCACTACCCAATTCATAAATCTTCCAAATTTTTTAATACCATAAGTATCATCTGTAGCATAATCTTAAACAAAACCTAATGAGTTTTTGTTTAAGAAAAACAGAACCTAGAACATCCTATTATGCCTCTCAAACTTATTCATCAAAGCAGTATCTTAATAGAACATACAGATCAAATATCTGTAAAATATTCACAAGATACGGCCTTAGTGAATCCTTTACTTGTATCAAATATAGAGTTAAACATAGAAGATGTATTTATTTTTTCTTAATTTCATTTTTCCACATGATATGAATTTGGAGCTTATGAAATAAGCACCCCAGTAAAATGAGCATCATATTAACACCCTATAATAATGCCAGCAGTCACTACACACACTTGGCCTTTAGTTCTTCCACTCTCTTGGGTAGAGACTGACAAATGTACTGCATTGTGGGATTGTTTTGTGATGTGTGCTCAACTAAGCTAAAACTACTACATACATTCTAGCTTTAATCCAAATGAAATATTGAACCAGTATTTCCAAACATACAAAAATAAATTTACCAAGCTACCCACCTGTAGCAGGCAAGTGAATTTATATTCCCCAACAACTGATATTAGTATTTTAAAAATAAATCATTCTGCTTGTCTCACTTCTTACCTGAAATATTGCACAACCTCCTACTGATTTCTTTTTTAACCTCAATCCATCTCCCAAAATTCTCAAATGTGAATAAGTACTGATTGTTCTACACTGCTACTTTTCTTTTTCTGGTGGCTCATACTGCCTCTATAATATAGCATGGCCTACTACATAAAGCACTATCTAGTCAGGCCCCCCTCTGTCTAGCTTTGCCTATACCATATTCCCATGTTCTGGTCTTACTGATTAGAAATTGCAATACTTTGAATGAGCTGTGATGCCTCAAAGCTGTATATATGTTTTTTATGCATCATTTCTTTATTAACAAATTATACTACACAAATCAGGTTACTTTTTCTGATTACAGAGTTAAGAGAAATTGCATCTATATTAAGAGCAGCAACATAAAACTTTAATGGGAAGAAATTTCATTATTTAGATATAAAGATTTTATACAGCGTGGATTGGAAATCAATGACTAAAGAGGTAAGAGTGGAAACTATGGTGCAGCTACTCTGGGAGATTCTCAGTAGTTTTGTTTTCCTTGTGTATTTAATTCAACAACAGCCTTCCCAGACGCACAGTATACTAGGTGAAGGGATACCACAAAGGATGATATAGAAAACCACAAGAACTTATAAAGGTACAAATAGAGCACACACAGTCAGGATATTTGGAGAAGGTGTAAAAACACAAAGAAGGGACAAGTCAGCTCCCTGGAGTTGCATCAACTCTGAAGTAATGTGTCCCTATTCTAACTAAAATTGGAGCACTTTTGTTTGAGAAATCAACTCATTGATTGGTCATTCATAAAGGGTTGTTTTTAAAGTAGCCACAAACTTAGGGAGAGAAAGTTGAATATAGGGACTAAATCCTTGAGTACTCAAAACTGGCTTAGAAGCCAAATGAAGCACAAATGGAAATGTTCCTCCAGCAGTAGACTTATTTTCTGAGTGATTTAAAACCACACACACCATAGGAGAGTGGTTTGCAAAACGCACCTGGTAAAACCTCGGGGGTTGGGGTGTTGGGGGGGGGCAGGTCATGGCATGAGATGTGCAGTGGGGTCTTCCTCCCCAGTCTTCACTTCAGTTCAAGTATTTCTAATTTTGTCTTTTGTGGCTTGAGGAAAGATTTCCTTTTACAAAAGGAAAAAGAAAAGCTGTATATATGTTTCCACATCCTATCCCCCTTGCTTTTATGCCCTTACTCAGTGAAATCCTACTCTTGCTACATCTTACAGAAGAAGCATCTTTTCCGTGAAGACTTCACTAGTGGACCCAAACCTCAAAATCATATCAAGTAAGATGTATGACATGTACTGACAAACTTTATGAACTCCATACTCAACACATTTTAAATGATCCTAACATTCTTCTGATGGCATTGACTCCTGATCTCTCCTGTACCCCCCCCCAAAGATGTCAGAACAGTGGGCCACCTTCAGGGGATCAGTGTCCTCATGGCACTGACATTCAAACCCCAGAGCATGAAGGATGCGGAGAGGCACTCTTTTATTGACATTTTATGGCACCGGCCTATTCATGCTACCAGGCCAAGTAATGAAAGATGTTCTATTTCGCCATATTGACAGGAATATTTGATGCTAAAAAGAACATTAGGAAGTTGTAAAGCAGCCTTTGAAAAGCTGGGGAAAAGTTGTGTACCCCTCATTCAAACAACAAAATGATAAACAACAAACATATAATTTTTCTGCAAAAACATGAGAACTTAAAACCATGTAACAACCAAACAGCCAGAATTCAGAAAAGGGGCAGACTCACACCAAGAAGCAAAAATATCTACAGACTGTTCCAACTATGGCAGGGAAAAGAAGGAAACAGCAGAGACCAAATAAAGGCAATAGAGAAAATCAAGTCGAAGTTTAACAAAATGTCAAAGTCCGGGGCCGGTGCTGTGGCATAGTGGGTAAAGCTGCCACCTACAGTGCCGGCATCCCATATGGGCATCAGTTCCAGGCCTGACTGCTCCATTTCCAATCCAGCTCTCTGCTATGGCCTGGGAAAGCAGTGGAAGATGGCCCAAGTCCTTGGGCCTCTGCACCCGCATGGTACACCCAGAAGAAGCTCCTGGCTTCTGGCTCCTGGCTTCGTATTAGCACAGCTCTGGCCATTGCAGCCATCTGGGGAGTAAACCAGTGGATGGAAGACATCTCTCTCTCTCTGTCTCTCTCTCTCTCTCTTTCTCTCTCTCTCGGCGCTCCTTCTCCCTGTTTAACTTTGACTTTCAAATAAATAGATAAATCTTTAAAAAATTTTTAAAAATGTCAAAGGCCAAGTGTGGGCTAGAAAAAAAGCATAGAGGCCCTCGAAGCCCCAAACAGGCCAAATGCATATTACCTCTGACTCTTTTCCGAGGGCCTTTACTCTGCACAATAAGATAAGAGTGTAGGAGAACAGGAGACTGGAAAGCCTACCTCAATGGCACAAACACAGAGGAGGGGAGGGACCATCACTGAATTAAAAATAAAAAGTTCCATCCTCCTCCCCATACCCTTCTCTCCTGCAGAGCAAAGGACTTAAGCTACTAAGAGAGAAGCATCAAACTTGCTGACCCCAGGACCCAGGGACAGATCCACCCTCACTGATAGAAGAGTAAACAACAATATGGGAAATAGTGGGCTAAGCCTCCGCCTGCAGTGCTGGCATCCCATATGGGTGCCAGTTCATATCGCAGCTGCCCCTTTTCCCATCAATCTCTCTGCTATGGACTGGGAAAGCAGTACAAGATGTCCCCCGTACCCATGTGGGAGACCTGGAAGAAGCTTCTGGCTCCTGGCTTCTGATCAGCCCAGATCCAGCCGTTGTGGCCATTTGGGGAATGAATTAGAGGATGGAAGACCTTTCTCTCTGTCTCTCCCTCTCTCTGCCTGTAACTCTACCTCTCAAATTAAAAAATTAAAAAAGAAAAGAAAAGTAGAGCAGCCAGGACACTAACCAGCTTCATATGGGATCATGGTACCACAGGCAGCAGCTTTACTTGCTATGCCACAACCACTGGCCCCAAAATTCTGATTAATCAAAATTAAATTCACACCAGAAATCCATACCTTCCAGCCACTGTAGATAACTGAAGTTGAATTACACTGTTTTTCCAGACTAAAATGACAATTCATATTAATTCTAGAAATGAGCCTGATTTAATGGTAAAGGGCAGATTTTTCAAAAGAAGGCAAGAAATTGATTGAATTTACATTCTGGTGACTGAATGATATATTAATTATGGATCCTATTCAAAAGACACAAAAAGAACATGATAAAAAGTCACTACACTATTTCCCATTATCTTGTTCCTCTCTGCAAATGTAATCAAATTTATTGGTTTCACCTGTATATTTTCAGATACTATATGTATGTATATTTCAGGTATAATGGGATTTCTTTCCCCAAGACTCCTGCAGATGTTTCAACTGTGATGCTTGAATGTTAATGGCTAATAGATTCAGGGTGGAGACTTGATCTAATTACAGTAACCACCAGGCGGGTCTGCTGGGAAGTACTTAGATTATTAAGTGAGTGTCCTTGATGAGTGGTCCTCCAAAGAGGGTTAGTCATTTTTTTTTTTTGTTGTTTAAAGATTTATTTATTTGAAAGGCAGAGTTACAGAGAGGAGAGGCAGAGAGAGAGAGGTCTTCCATCCACTGGTTCACTCCCCAAGTAGCCACAATGGCTGGAGCTGCACCGATCCAAAGCCAGGAGCTTCTTCCGGGTCTCCTGTGCAGGTGCAGGGGCCCAAGGACTTGGGCCATCTTCCACCACTTTCCCAGGCCATAGCACAGAGCTGGATGGGAAGTGGAGTAGCCAGGACTTGAACCGGTGCCCATATGGAATGCTGGCACTGCAGGTGGTGGTTTTACTCACTATGCCATAGTGCCAGCCCCAGTTAGTCATTCTGAGTTGAAATTCTGCCTAGCTCTCTGCTTCCCGGCTCAGCATGCGATTGTTCCTCCACACCTGCCATGGGCAGCCTCCACAGGTGCTATGTGATCCTGAACTGTAACCTCCAAACTGTAAGCTAAAATAAACCTTTTACGTCTCGAGCATGTCCTGTCAGGTATTTTGGTCAAAGTATTGAAAAGGTGACTAACATGTAATATACACAAGCAGGCACACAGGAATCCTTTCTCCCCCTTCATTACACAGCAATAGCAGACTCTCCATAGTTCTGCACTGCGGTGGTTTCCTTCTTTCACTTCATCCATCTGGAAGGCTATTCCATACCAACAAATTAACAGCACAATAATAAGATGATATCACATTTACTATATGCCAGGTATATTCCATGCAACTGTTGAAGAACACAGGTTTTTTTAAAATTCTTAATGAAATAAACAAGAAGCAAAATCTCAAATTCATACTAAAAATTCCAACTCCACTCAACAGGAATTAAGTCTGTATTTGATTTGTAGAGGGAAGACCCAGTTTCCTGCTCCTGTGCAGTGCATGCCAAACCCACGCTCACACCTACACTCCTTCAGGCCCTACCCGGACACCATCTGCAGGAGGATGCTAGATTAATCATTCTGCCCGTGGAGCTGGAGTGAACCAGCTCAGAGTACTAAACTAAGAGGCTCTACCTGAGTACATACAAGCCTGATTTCCACACCCGTGTCTCACCACCGGCCCTCCGATCCTGATAGGCACCGTAGAAGTTGTGGTTTAGGCACAGCCAAGCATCAACAAGTCAGACCTCAGGGTCCTTCTTGGGCACGAGGAGCAGTCCCTACCACAGAACATCCAACTTCCGTCAACACAGGAGACCGGTTACATCCATGTCACACGCATAACTTCACAGCTAATTTCTCCTTCACAGTGTTTAAACATAACCACTTTCATAAGCTCAGCATGAAGGAATTTCAAAGACAATGTATATCAAATTAAAAATAATTTTATTCAAAAACATTCAAATAATGTTTGCTTTTTAATTTACACATATGCAAATATTTTTTCCCAAAAAGAGTGCCTGGGGTATATAGTTTTGGAAAAAAGGGAGGAATGGGGAAGGGTTGGAGAGAACTCTGAGAAGAAGAACTAAAATACCATCGGAAAGTATGGCTCATTGGTCTGGACTCCCTAACATAGAATAGGGGTGATCTTCCCTACACGGATCCCAGGCAAGGAAGAAAAGCAGCACAGGAAACTATCTTAGCTTCCCTGAGGAGGGACTGGCCAAAACCAGTGATTGTGGTTGATATTGGCCTAGTATGAAGCTTGCAAAACTGGAATATAGAACCCCACAGCTGGGGTAAAGCAGGCAATGAGGCACATGGAGCACCAAAGAGGAAAGGCTGTGCTGTTAGCCCCACAGCTCAGGGCGTTGGTCACTACGTTGAACCCAAATCCAAAAGGACTCAGGTTGCCCAGGACCTTGTACACATCGCTGACACCATAGCCAAAAGCACTCATTGCTGTCAGGGGGCTGGTCACACCGTTGACCCCACAGCCAAAAACAGTTATGTTGCTCGGGGTGCTGAAACCAAAGCCAAAAACAGTCTCGGTCGCCAAGGGGCTGGTCACATCGCTGACACCAAAGCCAGAAGTGGGTTTTCTTTTCAGGGCGCTGGTCATATCGCTGACACCAAAGCCAAAAAGAGTCTTTGCTTGTACTCGTAGTTGTGGCAGAGGCAGCTGCACGGGAGGCAAGAACCTGGCTAGACAAGGCAGGAGCAGTTGAGGCTGCAGCCCAGCTAGTGGAGGCTAGAAGAGTTGGGGTTGGAGCCCAGCTAGTGGAGGCCTCAGCAGTTGTGGCTGGGGCCCGGCTAGCGGAGGCTGCAGCAGTTGAGGCTGGGGCAAGGCTAGTGGAGGCCGCAGCAGTTGCAGCTGGGGCCCGGCTAGTGGAGGCTGGAAGAATTGGGGCTGGAGCCCAGCTAGTGGAGGCCACAGCAGTTGAGGCTGGGGCCCAGCCAGTGCAGGCTGCAGCAGTTGTGGCTTGTGCCCGGCCAGTGAAGGCCGCAGCAGTTGGGGCTGAGGCCCGGCTAGTGGAGGCCGCAGCAGTTGCAGCTGGGGCCCGGCTAGTGGAGGCTGGAAGAGTTGGGGCTGGAGCCCGGCTAGTGGAGGCCGCAGCAGTTGCGGCTGGGGCCCAGCCAGTGCAGGCTGCAGCAGTTGTGGCTT